CAATTACAATCAACAAAATTGAAGCAGAAATGCCTTAGAACTAAAAATTTATAGAGAATAAGTTTCTTAAATTTTTTTCTTTTGTTTTATGTCTGGAAAAATGAATAAGAATCTAGTTTAATGACAAATCTACCAGCATTGTTGGTTTTGACAATGCTACACTTCAGTATTTGGTTTTGTATCTTTCATTGCAAATTTAAGATCTTTTGTCAAGTGTCTTTGTGAGTTTGCTTAGGTATCGTGATCCATTTTTTGGATATGGAGCTACCCTTACACAGCCATCCACCAAGGCTAAGAAACTGCTTCAGTCTCAGGCTTAAAAGTATGATGATATTTTATTTCCATTTCCAATTTTAAGTACTGTGCCTGAAGGAATTTTCTAAATAGACATTGGTTTAATGAATAATTGTTCCCTATGTCTTACCTTTTTTGTAGCCAGCTTTACCACATATATTTGGTATATAATTAGCAAATGTAAACAGATATAAAATTTAAAATACAGATGTACACAGAGAAAAATATTTTAAATGGCAAATGTAATTTCATATTTTCTAGAGTTCACCATATCATCATTAATGACTTAGAGGCATTTTACTAGACCTATTCAATTTATATGTGTATAAATTACAAATAGCTAAATATGAATATATTATCTACTTAGAAAAAATGTTAGATTCAAGTATTTAATGAACTTTCCTAAATCTATTTTCTGCTACTCATTTTCTACGTGTACATTCAGATGACATATGTTAATTTAACTTAGTGTAACACACAAACATGTGTAGCATGCAATGAGACCTGCATACTGCAATGAAAACAGCAACTATAATCAATTTTGTTCACTGCAGTCACTATGTCAACTTTCAGTAGTAACAGTACTATAAATACTTTAACACTAAAGTCAGAAAAAAAAAATTTGTTTATAAAAACATGGATTACAAGTAAAAGGCATGAAACATCAATGGTGTATTATAGGATACTAGAGGCCCGGTGCACAAAAATTTGTGCACTTGGGGGGGATCCCTCAACCTAGCCTATGCCCTTTTGCAGTCTGGGACCCCTCGGAGGATGTCTACCTGCTGGCTTAGGCCTGCTCCCTGGGGGATCGGGCCCAAGTTGGCAGTCAGACATCCCTCTGGCAGCCCGGCAGCCCTCGCGGGATGTCCACTTACCAGCGGGGAGCAGATCTAAGCTGCAGTCGGACATCCTTAGTGCTGCTGAGGAGGCGGGAGAGGCTCCTACCACAACCGCTGTACCAGCAGCTGTTAGCCTGGCTTGTGGCTGAGCAGAGCTCCCCCTGTGGGAGTGCAATGACCACCAAGGGACAGTTCCTGCATTGAGCATCTGCCCCCTGGTGGTCAGTGTGTGTCATAGTGACCAGTCATTCCCAGTCGTTCTGCTGTTAGGGTCAATTTGCATATTACCCTTTTATTATATGGGATAGAGGCCTGCTGCATGGGTGGAGGCCAGCTGGTTTGCCCTGAAGGGTGTCCCGGATCAGGGTGGGAGTCCTGCTGGGGTGCTGGCCAACCTGGGTGAGGGGCTGATGGCTGTTTGCAGCTGTTCACACCCCCTTCAGGGTGGGGGTCCCCACTGGGGTGCCTGGCCAGTCTGGGTGAGGGGCTGAAGGCCATTTTCAGGCTGGCCAACCCCCTCCAGCGACAGAAGCTCCCAGCCTCTCCGTTTTTTCCTTTTTTTTTTTTTTTTAATTCTGGAATTTATTTACCTTCTATAATTGAAACTTTGTTGCTTTGAGTGGAGCTCAGAGCTGCCGCGGCAGCTTGGCTTCCTCCATCATTGGGGCAAGCAAGCCTCCTGCTTGCTCCAGCTCCGTGGCTGCCAGCTGCCATCTTGGTAAGGTTAATTTGCATATAGTCGCTCTGATTGGCTGGCTGGTAGGCGTGGCTTAAGGCGTAGTGAAGGTACGGTCAATTTGCATGTTTGTCTTTTATTAGTGTAGATGATTATATTCCAATAATGTATAAGCACATATGTTGTTGTCAGTGTGGAAACAGTGTACGATTGTTTTTATTAACTATTGAAACAAAATGACACTGGGAGCACGCAAACATATTCCCTCTCAGAGTAAAGATCGTCAGTTTTATTCTAAGAAATGAAAGCAGATTCAAGATCCTATGTTGCAATCACTAGTTAGTGACACCACCATTTTCTTATAACAATTGCAGTTGACACTCTGGCCACCTCATGGAATATGTGTTCCCTGGAGAGATAGCCTGGCCTCCTTCAGTCTCCAGAAACATCCTATAGTGACTGAAACTGAATACTGTGCCTAATGACTCGAATCGCTAGGCATGTACCACCATCTTTCCCTCTTCCCTGCAAAATAATGTGCTCTCTTGCTGAAGAACATGATGAAGAAAATAATATTAAAAATCAGGAACTTAAGGTTACAATCTTCCCTAAACCTCTGTCCAAGCCAGGTATGCCTGAAGAGGCTTTTGGCTCTAGGCAAACACCCATGGACTCGTGCGTTTTCAGTTATATAGTATATACAAAAGAAAACACAGCAGAGACTCAGATTCTGCTCTGCTTTTGGAAGAAAGAAACTCTGTTTCCAAGGGAAAATTGGAAAGCTTTTCTCTGTGAATTCATGACAAAATGATCCTATGCCCAATGAATCAGAAAAATGGCCTTTACTAATAAATTACTGTAATTATCAAAAGTTAGATAAAAAAGTTGGATTAAAAAAAAAGACAAACTGAAATTAATAGTTTAGACTCAAATCACAAAATTGCCTAATTAATATTCATTAGTAGTTTAATGTCTGTTATACAGAAACTTTCATAGAGCAGGTATAGTTAAATATACCAAGCTGAGACAAAAAGTATCATAGACAAACCACTGAATTATATACCCAAGGGGTAAGCATCTGTCCTGATGATCTTTCTCATTAATTATAAGTAAAGCACAAACTGAGATTGAGTTTAGATATATTAATTGCAAAAACTGCCTTATAATAGGGTGTTCTTATCAAGCAGATTCTACAGAATCAAATTCTGGACTGAATACCAGAATCCCCAACTCCCATAAAAGGTGCATGATTTGCGATCCTGTCTCAGATCAATGTACTTGGAGAAATCTCCTCCCCGGGCAGCAGGCTGACGGCTCTCTCGGACCTGTGCTGACCGCATCTTCACTGTAAGGACAGCTTCACGCCGAGTGCCTTGTGCCATAAAAATGAAAGCACCGTCGCTTTACGCCTTGCTGCTGGTGTTTTCCCCTGCCTTTGCCCCCTGTTCAAATTTCCTTCCCTGGTGGTGTCTCTACCTGAATGAATTTTGAGAGGGGCCTAACCAGGGTGCCTTCTAATGATCCCTGGGGCGCCTACCTTTGCTTTTTAGCTGTTCTGCTTTGCAAGCTTCCTCAAAGTTGATCCAGAACCCACCAGAAGACGAAGAGGCAAGAGAGCCAGAGACTGAACAAAGCTTACTTGTCGCTAGTTATTTTTCTACTCCTGTAAACCATTCATTTCCAGTATGTAACATTTCTTATAAAGTAGGCTAAAATTTTTCAGCCCTTTCAGAACTTCTTTTCAAAGGTTTTGACTCCACAAATCAGGAAGATTACAGTAATTCAGGCTTAACCCCCGGCCCCCTACCCCCCAAAAAAAACAACTAAAAGGAAATTTAAGTTTGATTCAGCTTGTCCTAAATAACTTGAAAACCAATGAACCAAACTCTCAGAACTAGTGGATACTATTTAAGAAATCTATTTGATCATCTTTTTACCAACATCTTAATTAGTTGTATTAGAATATAAATAGATAAAACGCAAGAAAATAAACCACCATGTAAAGGGCAAAATAGTTTTCATAGGTAGGAAAAAGGACTACATTACTAATGGGAAATGTCTACAAAAATGAGTGTATTTTACCTGTCATCATCTTGTGAGAATCGCCTCTGCAAATCCTCTTTATTCCACTGTTCTTTTTCTTTCCCTTGCTCATGTATATCTTGTGTTTTTTCCTCGTCTCCTGATTCTCTGGTTTTCTCATGATTAGACGTTTTTGTAATCTCGTTCCCTTTCACATGCTCATTAATTCTTTCTTCCTTTACCTCATGAACTATCTCTTCATGCTTATCCCCTTCTTTCCCTCCCTCTTCTACTCCCTTTGGCCTTTGAAAGCAACACAAATTGAAGGAAGGCATGCAAATAAACACAAAAAAGGAAAGAAAAAGTAAGAAAAAAAGGCATACAAAATTAAACAGAAGGAAATGAACACTATGAAAACATAAACAACAATGACATCTTTTAAATGTTGAAACTTTTTTTTCCAGTATACCAGAGAAGCGCCTATGTAAGTACCACAATCATAATTGTTCCTTAAATCTTATTTTCCTGCTACAGAGTTGCATGGAAAAAAGTTGTGGTCTCCTCATTATAGTTTTATTATATATATATATATACATAGGAGTAAAAATAATTGAGCTCAGGTGCCCATAAACTCTATGGGTATGCATATACAAACATAAATATTGCATTTATAAATTTTGAGAGGCTGAAGACTTTTTCCATGCATTTATAACAGTTTCAGGAGGATAAGGCGTATCCTACTAAAAAAGTAATATTTTTCTGAATCCCTGAAATATACTCATCTAGGGGGAAAAACCCTCCAAATACTATTTTTCACATTTCTTAGAACATTAAAATATTCAAATTTTCACAAAACCATCACTTTAACCTCAATAAATGTGTAATAGAATTACTCTTTTAAAATAGAAAACATTAAAAAACAACTAATGATATTATTTCAAGTAACCTAGTAAGAAAGGTGTTGTACGTTCTCTGAAACTTGCCTGTGCAAGAAGTTTGAAAGGCAGAGCAAAATATTATAAAAAAAAAATAATACGTACAGAAGTTCTTATTGCCAAATGGCACACATTAGCCTTTAGAACAGAGGATTTTAGGTTTATCCAAAGAAACATAAAGACCTTGTCATACACACTGAGAAACGTTTCCTGCGAAAGTCCCTTACTCACCTGATTTTCTTGCTTCCTCTGGGCCGTTCTGATTGGACGGACATGTAGCTTGTGCTGCTGAAACGAGAAGCACTACTAGTCCTGGAAACCGCAGATATATCACTTACATCACTGTCCGAAGATTTAGTGGAAATATTATCTGCCCCTCTATGAGGATCCCATCCTGATCGATACTGTTAACACAGATTGACAAATACGCAGAAGTTGTCAGTATTACCATACAGAGCAATTATTAGCTTCTCCTATTTCAGCACTTTATTATCCACAGAGGATACTGCAAAACCCCCACTCAGTTGCATATAAAACAAAAGTGAACGGCAATTATCCTAAAAGAAAAATTCAATTTGCGTGAAACCTTTGTTTTTCAGCACAGGCAATTAGAGCATTTTCACCACACCCCAATGAAGGCCGTTAAAATAGTTTCACCACAGCAATGGCCTCAGGGAAGGACATTTAGGTAAAATCTGGGAAATAAACATTTGGCTTCATATTAGGAAATAGAGTATTTTTATTTCTGAATAAAATTTGAAAAAAAAGGTATAATAAAGTTGCCACTGTGACTTATTGAAACCCATTTTCTCTTTAATCCATTATGCTTCATTGAAAACCTAGAGATAGTACAAAACCTAATGATTAAAACACTAACTTTTTCTAGAAAAGCCAAGAGAAAAGAGAAAGTTTAATGTTTGAAAGATTACTGGAATTTTGATGAATCCTAGAAATACTAGAAAAAAGTCATTATTATTTACAATAGTTCCAACTTCCTGGAATGAAATAATCAGTTATGTGGCACAGCCAGGGTGCAGGATGTTCTGGGTGTTCAAACATTCTGGTAAATGAAAAGCCATCATAAATGCTTTATGTTAATGACATTGGGATATAAAAAAAATAGTAGATGCTGGAGTCTGGACAACCTGGAGTAAGGACAACCTCTTACTAACTGGGTAAAATTGAGCAAATACTTTAACCTTTAAAACTCTGTTTAAAGTAACTAGTGCCCTGGTGCAGATTCATGCACACTGAAAGGAAATTAATTAGCAGGTGGCCAGCGGGGCAGGACTGGGTGAGATGGGCCGGACACACTCTGGAGCCAACCTCCCACGGTCCCTCCCCAGCCGGTCGCACCTGGGGCAGCGCTGCAGCGCAAAGGGTATCTGCGGAGTGAGCAGGTCTCTCCGACAGGTGGGGTCCCTTGGCCTGGCCTGCGGGGATTGGGCTGAAACTGGCTCCCTGACATCCTCTGAGGGGTCCTGGATTGCAAGAGGGTGGCACTCCGGAATCAGGCTCCCTCCTCTCTAGTTCTGGGGTGTGTCACCTGAGAACCGCAGCTGCCAAGTCACCGCAGCTCAGGGGCTCCTGCATTGAGCGTCTGATCCCTGGTGGTCAGTGCGTGTCATACCTACTGGCCGGTTGGTCGGCTGCTTAGCCTTTTATATATATAGATAGGGATAGTATCTTTTTTTTCAGGGTTGTTTTGAAAATTAGAAATACAGTCTATCCTTGAACAACACGGAAGTTAGAAGAGTTGACTCCCGAGGAACTGAAAATCATCATATAACTTTGACTCCCTCAAAACTTAACTGCTAATAGCCTACTGTTTACTGGAAGCCTTACTGATTACATAAACAGTCAATCAATACATATTTTGTATGTTAAATGTATTATATACTGTATTTTTACAATAAAGTAAGCTAGAGAAAATAGAATGTTATTAAGAAAGGAAGAAAAAATACATTTACTGTATTTGTTGAAAAAATCCGCATATAAGTGGACCTGAACAGTTCGAATCAGTGTTGTTCAGGGTCAAATGTAATACATGTCTGGTCTCTGACATAATGTAAAGAAGTTCAGCCAGTATTATTACTGTCCTGATGGCTATTACTAGGTTAAGAGCATGTCTGCTAATAGATTTTTCTTTAATTATGTGTACTTCAAACATATACTGAAATATCTGTATCTGTCACTTTTGCAATAGAGATTTTTCTAACCATAGAAAGTGTTCACAAAGCCTTAAACAATTTAAATATTGAAAAATTTTACTTTAAATGAAAATGTCCTCAGCCATAGTCAGCCATTGCCTAGAATAGCATTTCAATGGGTAGGTCAACATTAACTATCTTAGCGCACACACTCACACACACACACAAACAAACACACAGACACTGTATGTATTTGTTTCATCAAATATATTAGCAGAAAATTTGATCTCAAGTTGGGACATAAATGGAAATACTTCATTTTATTTATATATTTTTGGATATTTATTTCATTTATATGATAAATGAACGTTTTAAGAAAATTTTCAAAACTATTAAACTGGTCAATGGATACAGTTCTGTGTTTGGGGGGCTATATTGTTCTTATTCTTGTTACTGATAACAAAAAGAGAAGCCGTCTGATATAGCTTTTAAAATATTTTAGCATTGGCTAGATAAGCAGTTTTGGTATTACAATTTTTTTCTTTGCAGTAGGTTTGGTATTATATTTTTTCTTTTGCTTTTGTTCATGGGATTATAATATCATCTAAGTTCAAATGAAAAATCCTAAAGTTTAACTCTAGGAGGTGGTAAGGGTAATATTATAATCACTATGAGCAATTGCTCTGGGATGAGACTGAATCAATGGTCTGAATCCTGGCTACACAAATTATTAGGTATGTGATATTGGGATAATTATTTCCATGATTCCATTTTTCATCTGTTATAAAGTGAATAACAACCATACCCATCTCCTAGGCTTGCTGCAAGGATTAAATAAGATGATGTATGCAAAGCACTTAGAAAAATACCTGACATATAACAAGTGCTTCACACATAACAAATGATGATGATAATGATGATGCTGATGATTAGATAGTAACTTGAACACTGGCTTAGTATCAATTCTAGGAATGTCTTTATCAAAAGAGGTATTAGTTAGAAATACCCAACAATAAATATATTACTTTACGGCTGCTCTAAGCTACAATAAAAATACAACTATTTCTACATATATCCAATAGTTATGTTTCAGAAAATATTTCTATAAGGCTAATTTTAAACGTGAAACCAAACTTTCCCACTAACTCCTAGTATGTACTCAGGCCTCACCTTCCCCATCTGGCCAGGTTCATCCATATCCCACCACCTTACAGGGAATTACTCCATTCCCACCTGCACCATGAGTTCTGCCTCAGCAGGAAATATATGACGCTTCTTGGCTGACACCGCTGCTCTGTTTTTCATTTATCTCCCTGCTGCTTTATCCTGAGATCCAAAACCGCCTGGAAACTTGTGCTCTCGTGTCTCCCAACTGGCTCTTTTCTGATTTGTTCTACATCCTAACTGCTTGACTTATGAATTTGACTTGACTTATGAATTTCAGTCGTTAGGATCTGACTATGCATACTTTAGCCTTAGTCTTTTTAGGCAGTCATGACTTTTGAACCTGCTGCTATGATCCATGGGTGCATACAGGCTGGCTGGCCTCAGAGGGAAGGTAGGAGAGGGTGGGGGAAGGGAGAGAGAGCAACCAAAGGACTTGTACATATAAGCCTAACCAATGGACACAGAAACCAGGGGAATGAGGGCATGAGTGTGTGTGTGTGTGTGGGGGGGGGGGGGGGGCGGGCGGGGGTGGGGGTGGTGGAGGGATAAGGACACACATGTAATACCTTAATTAATAAAGGGGGAAAAAAAGAATTTGTGTGTTTTTTAAATACACATGGTGTACATTGCACATATCTCTGGCTAAGACCTCTCAGATAATCTACTTTGCTGAGCTAAAATTTTGGATGTGCAAAATTTAAGGAAAGATATGATTCTATATACTATAGTTTTATGCCTTTTATATAATTCGTCACACAATACCTCTTGTTATAGGTGGTGTGTGTGTATAGGTGTGTGTGTTCATGTATAATTTTCTAACTCTCTATTAGAATAAAGGTTCTTAAAGGTCAGGACAATATCTTCCTTATCTTTGTAGTTCTTTTAGCACCGAAGAATCAGGTATTTAATTTAATTTAAACTCACGTTTAGCTTTCGAACCAGTAAGATAAGAATAAATCCCATTTTAACAATTATTGTGAGGAGTAAGAGAAATAAGACTCAGCATACCCAATAGTGAGCTTAGCACATAGCAGTGACTAAAAAGTAGGTCATTAAATAAAAGACTGAATGGAAAATTTCACATAAAGGAAAAACACAAACAAGGCAAAATCTCCAGTGTGATGGTGACTCTGCTGTCTGCTCAAGGCCTGAACCAAGTACATCTCTCTGAGCACTTCTAAGCAGCCAAGCATGCTTACCTTTGGAGCATAGCTCAGGTTTCTGCTACAAATACCCACATGAGCAACAGAATGAGAAATTTGGAAAGGAAGACATGATAAGAAAAATATTTTTATAAATAAAACTTCAGAACTTATCTTAAATATGTTTAGAGTATAACATCTCCATATATACAATTCACAAAAAGCCAGATGGATGACCTAACACTGTTTACTTCTAAGATGGTTCATTTCTTTTGCTTTAACTAAATGTAGTTTTGCTTGTCTTAATGTATAATAAACAAAAGTTATATATTTTCATAGTGAGATAGAAGCAGCTAAATTATTATTTTACCATGGTCAAGAGTTATAAATGTGAATAAGTTCATTTATTTAGTTAGGAAAGAGTTGGTGTTGTCTGGCACTATAAACAATGAAGACTTAGCATGTATTAGTTTATGGCTGACAGATGAACAATAAATATGTTCATCATTCTCCTTAAAGGAAAAAAACAAGATTTTTTTTTGCATAGGATTACACAATCCCAGCTGAAAACGGTGCTCTGACTGGAGATCATTAAGATCTTGTAAGAGAGTGAGGAAGCTTTTCCCGACAACATTTGATGCTTTGTCCATTACTATTAAGCAGATCATGAACTAGAAAATTTTACAGGAAATTATTATTGTTCAGGATGTTCCGGACGCTAAGGAGTTTCTAAGTGGCCGGGAGAAGTTAATGTTCTCCCTATTTACCTAAGATTAGTGAAAAGTAACAGCCTATCTGCAAAGCCCTTTTGAAAGAAAAGTTTGAATTAAAATGTTGGAATAATATTCTGGAGAAAAAAAGTATATTCAAATTTCTAAAATAAAACTGTTACTTTCTCCAGTATACTCACTTGACATTTTTAATTAGGTAATTTCCCAGTGATGT